TTTTTTTTTTTTTTTCTTTTTTAATAGCTGAGTCACAAGATCATTGGGAGAACTTTTCTTTGGACATTTTACCAACTTCTGTCTGTTTTGTTTTTGTTTTTTTGTGTGTTTTTTTTTTTGTTGTTGTTATTTTGTTTTGTTTTTTGTTATTTGTTTTTTTTGTAGAGCTACCCTGATTGTGTTTTTGTCCTCTAACTATGTCTTAGATAAATTTAGTTCTCCTTCTACTGGTGTCTTGGGCTTTTCTTTACTTATTCCTTTTCTGTCTTTGACAGTTAAATACTTGGACTTTATCCCCTGAGATGTATCTACTTATCAAGACAAGTTCTGCAGGAGAAATATCTAAATCAACCTCCAATATTAGTGGGACCAGAAAGTCTGATGGTAATTTCCCAGTGATCTTTCAGTTCTTTTTTTTTTAACCTGAATAAAAAAACATGCTTATAAATTACTTACATAGTTGGACTATATACCTCTCTAGGTATCTTTGACTAGAAACTAATTTCAGCTTTTAAGAGGCCTAGACCATCTGAGATCATTCTTTTAATCCTAATGAAAATGTATAATGCCTAAAAGAAAGATGCATTTTACTTTTAAACTTCTCATATAGAACTTGTTAGTTTTACATTGTACATACAAATAACACATACAGTAAGCATCCTTAAATATTATTTTACACACATGGTTATTTGTTAGATAAGTACCTCAAAGTAGAATTCCAGGTCAAAAGGTATACACATTTTTTATTTGGAAAGTATTGCCAAGTACTTTCTCATATTTTATAATGGTAAAAACTTGAAATTCGAAAACACAATGTAGCAATTGACCCTTTCCATGTTGTGACTATAGAATGATTTACTATGAATTTTTACAGAGGAGGAAGACAATTCAAAATTAATAAATTCTGCTTCTAGTTAACCTCTTACTCTCGAAGCTAATAATTCAAGGTATATGTTTGATTCCTACCCCTAGATAGGAAAACAAGAAAACTACTTGGATTGAACCTGAAAGAAAGGATTTTAAATCTCAGTTTTAAAAGAGTCCTTCTTTCCAGTAGCCTTCAAATTGTAGGGCAAAATTCCTCTCAAGGAAGAGGTGATGAGGAAAAAAAAAGAAAAAGGAAAAGAAAAAAAATGAGAAAAATGAAATAAAACCACCAGGACTTGAGCTAGAAATCCTATGGTTACCAATACATCTCATATGAGAAAGGAAGGGCTACCAAAGAAAAAATGGACAGTACCTGAGGAACGAATGGCTTCATAAGGAGACAGAGAACTACTGAAAGTCAGGTTCCTGGCAGGGATTTTTACTTTATACCGTTGCTGATGAGAACGTCTTCCAAATGCTAAGAAGGGAAAGAATGGAAGAGAAACTGGGCAGACCTAGGCTCTGAAACTCAAAATGCTTTTCCTGGGGGACATCATGAAATTGATTATAAGGAGGGTTATGAAATCTTAGAAATCACTCAAAGTCTGCAAACTACTACTGTTTGTTATTAACTAAGTCGCTATGTTGGCCAATGAAAGAAGCATTTTAAATCTCTAAGACATAATAACCATTAATGTTAATTTATTTAACAGGTAAGTTAAATATATAGATTATCTTTTAAATCTTTTTTTACTTAAGAAGGCGCCTGGGTGTCTCAGTCAGTTAAGTGTCTGACTTCAGCTCAGGTCATGATCTTGCAGTCCATGAGTTTGAGCCACGTGTCAGGCTGTGTTGACAGATCAGAGCCTGGAACCTGCTTGGATTCGGTGTCTCCCTCCCTCTCTGCCCCTCCCCTGCTCAGTCTCTC